GTGTTTCTCATTTAATCCTAACCCTAACCCTAACCCTTACCCTCAGTTATCTCAGGAGTTAGAGTTATTTTCAGTCTTTAAGACTTATTTCATCAGGACATTCATTTTTTTTTCTTCAATTAATCCAGCTCCTGTTGGATTGTATGACAAGTAGGAAATCCATAATATGTCCTGAGCTCACTGTGATATGTCATGACCTGTGAAACGGGTTCTTTGGTAACTCTCAATTACCCCTGGTGTGCCATACATGGCACTCAGTGGGGTCAGTCCCTTAATAGTTGCCTTTTGATTAGCTCTTATGTTTATTTTGGCCCATTCATGTATGATCTCCATTATCTCTTGATGACCATATATCAATGTACAGTGAGTTTGCATCAAGCCTGTAACTGTATCCACAAAAGTCAAAGCATATTTGACCCCTTCCAATACTAGGAGATGGCCAGCGTAGTGCATCTGCCATCACTGAAAAGGGATGTCATCTTGTTTTATGTGCCCTTGTATCATCTGATTAAATGTCTCTGTATGATGTTGTAGGTATAGCTCTGAGAGCAGGCAAGACGGTTTTAGCATGCAGCAACAATATCATTTTTTTTTTTTTTGGTACCAGGGATTGAACCCAGAGGTGTTTAACCACTGAACCACATCCCCAGCCCTCTTTATTTTTTTTTTTATTTTGAGACAACTTGCTAAGTTGCTTAAGGCCTCACTATTTGCTGAGGCTGACTTTGAACTTGTGATCCTTCTGCCTTAGTCTCCAGAGCCACTGGGATTACAGGCATGCACCACCGTGCCCAGCTAGGATTCTTTTCTTTTTGGTACCAGGGATTGAACTCAGGGGCACTCAACCACTGAGCAACATCCCCAGCCCTATTTAGTATTTTATTTAGAGACAGGATCTCACTGAATTGCTTAGTTCCTCGCAGTTGCTGAAGCTGGCTTTGACCTCACAATCCTTCTGTCTCAGCCTCCCAAGCCACTGGGATTATAAGCGTGTGCCACTGTACCTGGTTTAGGATTCATTCTGATATAATTATAAAACCATGGAGTATAATTTGCTTTAACTCAGTTCCTGGTACTTGCCTTTCCCCTCTCCTTCTTCTTCCTCCAGTTCCCTTCCCTCTACTCTACTGATCTTTCTTTTTTTTTTCCTCCACATTTTTTAATCGATACATTATAGTTGTATACTATACTGATCTTTCTGCTATTTACTAATATTTTAAAAATTAGTGCCTTGTGGATATACATAATGGTGAGATTCACTGTGGTATATTCATGTATGTATGTAGGAAAGTTATGTCAGATTCGTTTCACTGTTCCTGTCCCTTCTCCCTCTCTCTCACTCTCCTTCCACTACTCTGCTGATCTGTCTTCTATTTTGATGGACTCCCCCACCTTTTTTTTCCCACCCTTTACTTTGGATTCCCTTCCACATATCAGAGAACATATTCGGCCTTTGACTTTCTGGGTCCAGCTTATTTCACTTAGTATGAGGGTCTCCATTCTATTTATTTACTGGAAAATCCCATAATTTCATTCATCCTGTTTTCATAGCAGCCACATAGGGTAGTTAAAGGGACTGTGGTTTGAGCAAATTATGTTTATTTTGGCCCATTCATGTATGATCTCCATTATCTCTTGATGACCACCAGGAAGCCAGTATTGTTTGGTGGTAATTATCTGGCCAATAGGAAGCTGTTTTATATGCGCCCTTAAGATTGGCTTTACAATAAATAAATAAATATTAAAAGAAAACATGAATAAGCAATCAGCAAAGAAGTAGAAAAAATATATTAGTTTTTATAGTTGACACATGTTTAATCTCCCAGCAATGCAAATAGAACTTTCTTACTGTAGAGAGTAAGATATTTTTGTAGTTTGTAGATATTTACCCCATAAGTTATCAATATCTATAATATATCAAGGAATGGGAGCTATGAACACCAGGTGGGGTGGGTGGCAAAGCTGCAGTGTCAATGTTATGGTTCAGACTCTTAATATAATTTTCCCCTCATATCTTTTGAGGCAGCTAACTTGCTTGAGAATTTGTCAGGATTACCATATATCAATGTACATTGAGTTTGAATATTCACTAATACTGTTACTCTGAATATTTTTTGAAGAGTAACGTATTGCCAATTGTATATATGGCTTCCGGTCCAGAGACATGGCTCAGACCTCTGTGCCTTGATTTCCCCCCTAGTCAGCCCATAACCAGGTGTTCATAAACTCCTCAGGGGGAGCTATGACTCTGCTTTCATTATTTCTCTTAATAGGAAAGGCTTGTCTTTGTCTCCTCTGGGCATAGGAGACATGTTTACCTTTCTGTCTCCTTCCCTTTTTCTTATTGAGAGGTAATAGATGAAACTTTCTGTCCTTTGGCAATTGCTTACATAATTGTACTAGAGTGCCACTAGGTTTTTTAATTTTACTTTCATCTACTCCTGCTGTTATTAAGCCCACTCACATCTGCTCACAGGAATCTTGGAGAGATCCTCCAAGTTTTAGCAGGGTTTTTTGGATTTGCATTTTCTGTGGCAATCTTTCTGTCTCCCCTAGGTCTGATATCAGTTGCACTTCTCATTATCCCCTACTAATGGGGATAATATTGATACAGGATACCATAAATGGACAGAGGGGCTGTGTGTAATGCTGCATGCCTCATTGCAACTTTGAAAATCATACTGTCTGGTCCTGGGAAAGGCTGCGTATAAATAGCATGTTTCTCCCCCAGTTCCCACAAATAGTTCTTCCATAGAAACCCAGATGCCTCTGGGCATAGGAACATCTGAATTTGGCCATGCGGTGTGAATGGCAAAAAGCAGCCAACCTAGTAAAATGACTCCACATTTTCATCAGTGGCACTGGTATAAAGTTACTGATGCAAAGCAGGGTGAAGAGTTACCAAAACCATTTTAGACAATTCCATACCATCTGACATTATCCCATCTGCTCCAGAGTCCCACAAATGGAACAGCCATGCTGATATACTTTTTTTTTCTTTCATTTCTGCCTGTAATTGTAGTTCTGCCAGGGGATATATAGAGATTTGGTATATCTCTCCAGAGTGGGGGAAGAATATCTGGATCAGTCCCTTCAGGTCACTCCTGCTGGATCTTTAACTTTTGGACCATTTCAAGACTAGCTTCCATTACAGTTTTGTTCTCTACCTCAACTTCTGAATCACTGGAGCTAGTGGACACCCTGAGTGGGTCCCAAATATGAGGATGCCAGTTTTCACTAGTCACTGACACCTTAACATGGGCTCTGCGCCTGCAATGTCCCCTTAATTTAGCATAACAGCATGCCAGGAGCTGTAGACATTCGTCTGCAAGTTCTAAACGGTGTGACAGCACACCCTTGCTGTTAGCCTGTGTAAAACAGGCATCTCTTTCTAGTCTTAACTTTTCTGTACTATGTGGAGTTGAGCCTGAGTAGCTAACTTCTGTTCTATGGCTAACTTTAATGCATAGGGCAGGGGCCTTACCACCACTCCAGAAACATTCTTTGTTTCCTTTTACTTTCCCACAACTACTTTGGATGCTGCTTTCAACACTTGTAGCACTCCTCCTTACATTTTGGCTTGTCCCCATAGGCACATGGTAGTCCCCCAACCCTCTAATATGGAAGCCACCTCAAACCACATCAAGGCTGTGACTAACCCAGGATTTCCTCTCCAGAACCCATGTCCTTCTCCAACTCCAGAGCCAACACAATACATTCCTCTTGGGGGATCCTTCTGACTGTGCCAGTTGTTCAACCCCAGAGCTGCAGTATTCCCCAAGAATACTGTTTACCAATCCCAAAGACAGAACTTGGAGGATTCAAAAGAGAGATTTTGGTCATTTGATTATTCACACACTCCTCTGAGGTAGCAGGCCAGGATACAGTGGAGGGTCAAACTGTGCCTACAAGCAGGCACCTGCAGGATAGGCTGCATGCCCACTGTGCAGATGGATTTCTTGAGATGTTTTATGAGTGTATTCTTTTACCTTACAATCAAGGTCACTCTGCTTTGATCCTCACCTAAAGACTGGTGACAAGGAAGTGGCCAGTTTCCCCTCTCCATTTCCTTCTTTATTGTTTAGAGTCCTTACCTCACCACCTAGAACAAGATTTCCTAGGTACTGACTGGGTATACCCCAACAAGATCCAATTTAATTTCCCCTCCATATAATCAATTGTCATAATACAGTTTATTAGTTCATCATTTCTCATTCATTTTTATGGTGGGGGGAAGCAATGGTTGTCTTGAGAATAATAACTATCTTAACAAAATATAAGCAGTTGAAATCAATGAGGTTTTAAATTTTGGGGAGGAGCATACGGAAATTGAACCCAGTGCCACTTAACCACTGAGCCCAGTTGCCCCCCCTCTTTTTAAAAATATTTTTAGTTGTATATGGCACCTTTATTTATTTGTATGGTGCTGAGAATCAAACCCAGTGCCTCACCCAGTGCTAGGCAAGTGCTCTCCAACAGAGCCATAGCCCCAGTCCTCCCCAAACTTTTTAAATATTTTATTTAGAGACAGGGTCTTGCTGAGTTGCTTAGGGCCTTGCTAAATTTCTGAGGCTGGCTTTGAACTGGCAAACCTCCTGCCTCAGCCTCCCAAGGTGCTAGGATTACAGGCCTGCCCCACTGTGCCCTACCCAACAAGGTGTTTTTGGAAATGATAACAATATTATGAACAAGTTGTTTACTTGGGAATCAAGAATGGTTCATCATTGGAAAGTCTAATAATGTGATTGATCTCATAAACAGGTTAAAGGAAAATATTCATATCATCATCTCAATAACTGCGGAAAAAGAATGTAATAAAATATAACTGCTAATATTTTGTTTTTCCTTAAAATACACTCTCTTTCTAGAAATTATTAAAAAATTCAGAGCAGAAAAAAATCAAACTAGAAACAAAGCATGAACACTAGGGAGATTGCAGTGCCTTATTATGGTGTCTGCCCTATAGCAGTCTTTGCACAAGATGGCTTCATAAGGTCACTTTCAGCCCTTCGCTTCTGTGACCACAAATAGCATCTTTGGCAAATCTGGTTTCAGTTGGGCCTTTGCTCACCTCCTGAATTCCACGCAGGGTCTTAAAAACCCTTGAGGAATAAAAGATTTAAGCCTGCCCAATGGACTCCGTGATTCCGTACTTATAAGAGTGCCCCAAACGGGGGTGGGGAAGGAGGGGACAGATGCCCTAGGAGCAACCCGAGACTGGTCTGCGCGATCTGCCAAGTCACTGGCTCTGCCTAGGACCCAGAAATGAGAACGCTCCCGAGACTGGTGGATCTGTCCCTCCTCTGGAGAAAGGATGCGGGTAACCGATCTAAGGTGCAGAATCAAGGGTCCGGCTGTCTGAGAGCGCTAAGAAGCAGAAGCCTCCTAGGTGTTGGTGGCAAGCAGGGTCGCCAGGCTTGGGGATCCGGCGGCCTGGCGGAGAGATATACCAAGGGCGGCAGCGGGGGATCAGAAGGCGAGCGAGGAAGCCGCCGAGACTCGGAGAACTCAGGAGCGCTGTAGGGACCTGTGAGGGGTCGGATGTAAGGGGCTGGCTGGGACGACCCTAGCCTAGAGTTCCCTTGTGGTCTACAGAGACGTCCTCTGGACTCGGCGAAGTAAGGAGTGAGCTGAGTGGCTTTCCAGCCTCAGCGGTGCGGAAGTGCAGCGATGACGCAAGAACCAGAGCGGCCTGTACGGCCTCGAACTCAGGTGAGCCACTCTTCCAGATGCCCCCATATCTCTTAACATCCGGGACTCCAGAATCCCTTGCCGCCACCTCAGCGTCTCTGCGCCCCGTGGGCCTGCACCTGAGTCTCCAGGGCATACCCTAGCTTGCCTTGCGCGAGACCTTTATTCCAGGGAACCCCCCTTGACACCCACTGCGCTTGCGCGTCCGCTTCTGCTTTTATTACTGTGCCGGGCTCAGAAGCCAATTGCGCGTGCGCTGTCAATTCACTCTCTGGAACTGCTGGGCCGCCCTCTCTCGGCTCGCAGGTTTACCTGCTGTGTGCGGCTGGCGGCTGAAGTTTCCCTGGCACCGAGCAACTCGCAGGTTCTGCATTTCTCTGAGTTTCGTGCCCTTCAGCTATTTGGAAAGCTCCAAATTCCAAAACTTGCCCGGACCAGTCGTTTCTGATGAGGGACTAGGGACCTGCAAGTAACAATACAGGAGCAGTCCTCCTTGAAGGCTTAACGAAGGTGTTTATTTGTACAAAACTTTTGTGGATGTATGTACAGTGGAGTTAGGTGCTAGGTCAAAGGAACATAAGCAGGTATTCATGCCCAGGGATGGTCTGTGGGACATCCCAGTCTAGCAACCCTTTCATGATTGTATTGCTCCCAGGGTCCTTGCTCCTTGTGTGGGCCAGACAGACCCCAAGAGGCAGTAGCCTTCTAAAGAAGGCAGCCCTGGCAACTCACTCCTGTGACTGTTTCCCGCGTCACTGTCCCTCTTCATTGACCTGTCTTCCAAACCTTGGCAAGGTCTTTTGCAGAATCCTGTCCTCCAAAGCCTCTTCTAGTACATCTCCATCCCTTAGCACAGTATGTCAAAGAATGGTGAATGTACTTCTGTCTTTTCTCTGATTCTATCTGTCCCCCAGTATCCTTCCTCATTGGAGCAAGCACTTGATAATAAAAAATAGATTGTAGATTCTGGAAATTCTACACAAAACCTTTAGCTATATATTCTTCTGTCATAAAATTTGTATTTAAGTATTCAAAAGCAACAAAAAACATGAGTCCCAATGATTTTGACTTGTATTACTGTAAATCTGTAGGACAATTTGCCAGAACAAGAAAAGCAGTGTGATATTTGGGGGGAAAAGGTTAATAATTTTATTTTTATAAGATCAACTACTTCGTGAATGTCTAGGAAAATATCTGAGGGAAGCAGTTCATCGTGTGCTTTTAGGGGAGTGAAGAACTTTGGTATAACTACATTTTCAAAAATCTTAATGAGCATGTCTTTTTTGTTTTTCTCTTTTGCAGTAGTGAGAGTAGAACTCAAGGTCTTCTGCATGCTAGGCAAGCTCTCTACCACTGAACTATACCCCCAACCCTGATCATGTCATTTGGTAATTAGGAAATCATAAAAGGAAAAATGGAAACGATATTGTGAATTTCTCAAAAAATACCAATGACATGGAATGGAACATCAAGGTCCCGAGTCCTCTTGACTGGGTGTCTTGGGAAATCCTCCCACCTTCTCTAAGGGAGTTGTGCTAATATGAAAAGCTGTCCTTTCTGTCCTGGCACACATGCATCCAGCCTGGAGTTAGGTATTATCTTTAGGTACAGGCAAGGAAGTGACTCCAAGAGTACAAGGGAGTCAGGGAAGAGCTGGCTCTGGAACCTAGATGCCTCCACCATATATGGCTACTTGTCTATTGCTTCATTTACCCTGCAAATTCCCTCACATGTAGGACTACATGGCCACTTTCTTTTAGCTTCATTGCAAAACAGGCTGGTGAGTGATAAGAGGAAGCTTAGCTCAGGTTCCTGGGGCCCAGTCACTCCATTGGAGAATGTTTTTTTTGGGGGGGCGGGGGGAATCATTGGGACTCAGGGGCTGCTGTCCAGTTAGAGACAGAGCTTCACTCCACTGGGTCCCCAGCTCAGGGGATTGTCCTCATAACCACAACAGACATGCCTAGGGGAAGTCCAACAAAGAGGCTGCGAACTGCTTTCCATCTCAAGAAAATGCTGGCTGAGGGAAGGAGGGGTGAGGTGGAGTTACCTCCGGGACTCCGAGCAAAAAGCTTGATTTCCCCTGCTACCTGCTCGCCATGTGACCTAGGGAACTCCTCTCTTAGGTTTCTCATTTGCCTGGCTCAAATCAATGGCCAAGCTGTGATTGGTAGGTCTGGCCCAGGGAGGGAGGATGAGGTCATCTTTGGTCATTTTGTGTCTTCCCTTATCTCCTCTGATTCAGGGTAGGGTCCTGTTCCTGGTCATCTGTGCAGCTGGCATTGGTGGAACTTTTCAGTTTGGCTACAACCTTTCCATTATCAATGCTCCAACCTTGGTAGGTACCTTCTGTGCCCATTGTTAAGGTCTGAGTGAGTACTGGGTCAGGGTGGAGAGCTGTCCACTATGGGACTTTAGCTCAGCACTCACTTAGTAGTGCCTCTTCCCATCTCTTCTTTTCCACTGGGATGTCCCACAGATTTCTGCAGCTTTACACAGAGCTCTTTGCATCCTCCCCAAAACTAATGTCCTCCTGAGTCTCTGAACTGAATCACCTAATACCTATTGATGTGGGGATTATCCTTGACACTTCCCTTCCACTCTTGGACACCAAGCCCATCCTAACTACCTCTAGAATCCAGATATTTCTTTCCATGATTCTGCCACAACCCCAATTCTAGTGCAGCCTCCTCATTGGCCTCCCTGCATTCCACAGCCTTCCTGTCCCCCTCTCCCTCCTTCCACCCCTCTGCCTTCTTTCTCTTCCTCATTTTTCTCCTCCTCCTTCTATTCCTTTCTTCTCCTCCCCTTCTTTCCTTCCCTCCTCACTTTTCTCATTCTTTTGCTCATTCTTCTTCCTTCTCCTCCCCTTTCCTGTTCTTTCTTTCCCTCCCTCCCTTCCTCCCTCCCTTTCTTCTTTCCTTCCTTCCTTCCTTCCTTTTCTCTGGAATCTGGCTTTATTGCCAAGGCTTGACTCCATTCTGTATTCTCCTCCTGCCTCAGCTTCCTGGGTAGCTAGAAATACAGGCATATGCTACTGTACCCACTCAGCTTTTTCCTTTTTTGAGCTCCTCTAAGTTTGTCAACTCATTCCCCTGCCCAGAAACATTCAGTGATTCTCCCCAGTGCTCATAGGACAGGACAGATTAATCCACCTGAAGTTCAAGGCCTCATGGGATCAAAACCTCTCCCTCTGTCATCCACTTTCAACCTTGATAACAAAGCATGTTAAATGTAGTTTCCCAAATGTCCATGACACAGCCCCTTCTATAAGCTTCCTTCCACTGGGAAGCACTCTCTTCTCTCTTGCTCCATGTTTGAGTCCCAGCATTTTACACTATATGGGCCCATTTTAATGTTCAGTTAGTTCCTATGAGAAAAGATGAATTTTGCAGCCCCAGTAAAAGAAGTTCACCTCTAAATTGCTTGAGTGTGAAGGACAAGTTCTGGTCACAGAGATGGGAACCATGTGGGGCTTCACCCAGATAGGAGGGAAAAGCTACAGGGACCAGAACCTAAGACAAAACTGTGATTCTGTTGCTCCTGCCTGGCCTTGTTCTCTTCCCAGTGGGCAAGAATGCAACCATCACCAGATTCACTTCCTACCAGCTGAGAACTATTCCCCCTCCCCAGCAGTTGAAAGGTCTGGGAAGAGTCCAGTTGAATCATTTTGGTCACATGCTTACCCCCTAGACTAATCATGTGGTCAGGAGGGTGGCATTTTCAAATTGCCTACGTCTGAGTCTGGTAATCATTTGAACATTTTTTTTTGGGGGGGGAGTACCAGGGATTAAACTTAGGGGCACTTGATCTCTGAGCCACTTCCCCAACCCTATTTTATATTTTAATTAGAGACAGGGTCTCACTGAGTTGCTTAGCACCTCAATTTTGCTGAGGCTGGCATTGAACTAGTGATCCTTCTGCCTCTCAGCCTCCTGAGTTGCTGGGATTACAGGCTTATGCCACCATGCCCAGCAGGTGATCCTGTTTATGGAGGCAGAAGGAGCTATAATTGATCAGTGAAGAAAACTTCCTCTGAAGGACAATTTATTAGCAGAAAACGTGAGTATTCAGGGCAGACAAAATGATAACAGCCCAGCCCCTTAAAGAAAGGATAAAATTAAAGGTTTCAAGAGGTCTGAACTGGCTACATTGGTTTATAAATTTCATTCAACAAGCATTTTAGTGCCCACTTAAGTGCAGATTCACATATTGGGGAGCAATCTCTTCATGGCAGGACAGGATCAGATCTTTTCTCCTGTGGGACAGCACCATCCCTCAAAAATGAGACTTTCTTGGGCTTGGAGGCTCCACTTAATCTGCTGAATGATGTTAAAGAAAATATACTATTTTGTTAAAGAAAAAAAAGAATCAATGACACTTGTTAAACCACAGTAAGAAAGAATTTATTGATGGGAAGCCATGGCAATAAGTATAGGGACCACTCATGGGGTCCTGCAGTGGAGGAGAGAGATTGGGTTCAATTCTGAATAGAGCAAAGGCAAGTGGGAATTTCTAGCCAAGGAGTAGTGTTGGAGTCAGTGGATGACAAATGACTAGAGGAAACATCAGGGATAAGGGCCAATTCTGGCTAAACCAATCTAACTGGATTTTTGTGGAAGGCAGGTGGGGTGTGTTAGAGGATGTATACCTCATCAATCATCAAGGGTGATCCACTATGGACTACAGGAGATTCTACCTAAACCAACTTATAAGATGTTAAATAAAAAGTACAGAAGGACTTTGTTTTGGATTATGCTTTGTTTTGGATTGGGCTCCAACAGACTAAGCTAAAAATCAAAATGGAGTCACTAAAAGTTCCATATCATCACAATGAACTAAACTGTTATGTTAGTCAGCTTTTTGTCACTGTGACAAAAAGGAAAAGTTTATTTTGGGTTCACAGTTTCAGAGGTGCTGTTTATGGTCAGTGGATTCCATTGCTCTGGGCCTGAAGCAAGGCAGAACATTATGGCAGGAGAAAAGCTTCTCAGCTCTTGGAAGTGGGGCCTGCACTTGGCCTCCCAAGCCACTTCTCCACCACGCCCAGCTGACTCATGGCGGTTGGAAAGCAGAGAGAAAGAGGAGCCAGGGATAAGATATAATCCCAAGTGCACACTCCCAGTAACCTACTTCTTTCAGCTATTTACCCCTATAGTTACCCTATAGTAGTCCTTTCAAATTACTAATCCATAAAAAACCCAAATTATTAATCCATCAAATGCATTCACCCACTGATAAGATTATAACTTTCACAATCCAATCTTTTCACTTCTGACATTGCTATATTACCTAACACCGAACTCCTTGGGGGACTTTATTTTTTTGATACCAGGGATTGAACCCAGAGGCACTTAACCACTGAGCCACAACCCCATCTCTTTTTATTCTTTGAGACAGGGTCTCACTAAGTTGCTTTGGGTCTCACTAAATTTCTGAGGCTGGCTTTGAACTTGCATTCTTCCTACCTCAACCTCCCAAGCCGCTAGGATTAGAGGCACGTGCCACCGTGTTTAGCTTGGGGGACAGTTTAAAATCAATACCATAACAGCTGTTTATTTGACCTTATGAGATGAGAATTAGAAAACAGTCAAATTTCCCAAACAGGTCAGTTTTAATACACATGATAATGAAGATTTCACTGCTTTTATCCTTACAAAGAAGTAATCTGAAAAAAAAAAATGAAGCTAAATAATCAGTTTCCTATTGTTCTGTCTTCCAGTCTCCACCTTACAAGAAAAATAACTTTGAAATGACTGATTTGCTTTTTGTTTTTGTTTTTGCTTTCTTCAAGCACTTTGTAAAACCAACCTTCTTGGCTTGGACCATGAAAACACTTATTCTATTTTGTGGAATGAAGTGTTGCCTGATTCTAAGGTAGAAAATAAGACCAATTAGATCAACTAAATTGTTGCAGTTTGTCCTTTGACACAAGATTCTTGCTAGTATTGGATAATGCAGCAATGAACACAGAAGTCCAATCTTTGTCATTGGCCACTTTTGAAAGGTTAGAGCCAAGGTTGGGGAGACTGGCTCTGGTTCCAGCTCCCCTGGATAGCAGATGAATGTGGCAAGTCCAGGCTGTCAGTCGTTACCTTAGCTGGCCAGGGTAGGGGAAAGAGCTGGCTCAATAACTGAACCCATTGTTCTCCTTCATGTCCTCATGATGGAGGAGGAGATGATTAAGACTAATATTTCATCCCTAGCCAACCGAAGGGTGTCCAGGTTTTCCCCATACACAGGCTTTCCTAACCATGGGGCTTCCATTCGCTCACCTGAAGTGGCAGCTTTGGAGGGCGGGGCTTAGTGGAGTCTGAACATCCTGGGTGTAATCTTGACCTGTGGCTGAGGACATGGGCAAAATGTTTCACCTCTCTGGGCCCAATTCCAAGACTTAATGAGCAAAGTAACGTGTATTTAATAGTGTACAGTCATCCCTCAATCTTCATAGGGTTGCAGCCAATCTGCAGTGACCTCACAAGGATAGAACAGAGGGAACTCCTGCATCCCTCTCCGGCCACTTCTAAGGTCCTGCTGGTGCTCATCATTGGCCAAGTCCAACAGAAAGCCAGTCAGGGAGGCAGCCGAGTGATGTGGGCTGTACAGGTGGCTTCCTGGGGCAAAATCAGGGTAGAAGTAGGGCATAGCGGGCTTGAAGGATATAGTTTAATTAGAACCATATTTGGTCTTTGACTCTGGTTCCTGGCTCAGAGCTCCTATAACCCTTGGAATTTTTCTGAATGATAGGAGTATCTTTTATTATTTGGAATGAGCCCCCAACATAAGTTTATAGTCATGAGGTGATTTAGGACTAGGCCCTAGATGGCCTTAGAATAGAGCTGATCATCAGAAAGGCCAAGTGATTAGAGTCAGCTTCTAGACCCACCTGCTGACCTCTGGGAAGGAGAGAAGGGCCACAGACTAAGCTCTTATAAAAACTGTTGAACAATGAGATTTGATGTTCATACAGGTTTATGAATATACTGAGATGTTGGGAAGGTAGTGTGCCCAGAGAGGGCATGAAAGATCTGAGGACCACCACCTTTAGGACCTTGTCCTCTGTTTCTCTTCCATCTGGGTGTTCCTGAGTTATTCTCTTATAATATACCAGTAAACATAAGGAAGTGACTTTCTGAGCTTTGTGAGCTATTATAGCAAATTATTAAACTCAAGGACAAGGTCATAAGAATGCCCAATTTGTAGGTGGTCAGTCAGGATACAATTGTAATTGGACTTACAATTTTCATTTGAAATGGAGACAGTCTTGTGGGACTGATCCCTTTGACTTATAGAATTTGATGCTAAATTTCAGGTATAAAGTTTCAGTTTTGGACTACATTATAGTACATCTAGCTGGTGTCCAGAGAGTTGGAGAATTGCTTACGGTAGACAAGTTCCACATATTTGCTATCAGAAGTATTTGGTGAGTATAGAAAAATAGTGTGATTCTATAAAGGGGCAGATAGAGACTATCCAGTGCTAGGAGTTTTCTTTCTTTTTTTTTTTTCCTACACCATGGAGAGCTCAAGAGACTTGATGACTGGATTACAGAATCACAGAGCCTTGTGGAGGAGAAGGCCTGTCCTGTCCAGTACCAGCATCCCTGTCATCCCCAGGAGGCTGACTGCCATCTCTTTTCACAGCATATTCAGAAATTCACCAATGAAACATGGCAAGCACGCACTGGAAAACCACTGCCTGACCACATGGTTCTGCTTGTATGGTCCCTCATTGTGTCTCTTTTCCCCATGGGGGGACTTTTTGGAGCCCTGCTTGCAGGACCCATGGCCATTAAGCTGGGAAGGTAAGTGATTTCTGTGTAGCACCCCCTCACCCAGTATCCTTTAATGAGGGGCATCCCAATCTGTAGGTTGAGGAATGTGAAAGGACAATGCCCAGCACCCTCCAGGCCCAGATCAACTCCTCACCTAGTCTCTCATTCCAGCTGTGTTTTTACATTGAGAGTCACATTTTCAAGGAAATTTGGTAGAGAAAGGAGTTCTGTGCAGTGGTGGAGGGAAGATTCCTGGTTTCTAGTTCCATGTCTGCCAATATGTGCAATTTGATCTTAAGCAAGTATTTTCCAGGCTTTGCTCTCCCCCTATGTATCTGATGCATTTCCTGGGTTGCAAACAACAAAAACTGACTCTAGCTCACATGATCAAAAATTGTAAGAACTGGATGGATATTGAGGCAGCTCACAAGGAGGAAAAGAAGTGTTTAAAAGCCAGGCCTTAGCCACAGGTGGTGGCACATGCCTCTCATCCCAGGGGCTTAGGAGGCTGAGGCAGGGGTTTTGTGAGTTCAAAGCCAGCCTCAGTAACTCAATGAGGCCCTGTCTCTAAATAAAGGATTTTTAAAAGGGCTGAGGATGTGGCTCAGTGGTTAAGGCCCCGCATTCAATCCCTGGTACAAAAAAAAGAAAAGAGAAAAGAAAAAGCCAGGCCTCAAGAAGGGCATAAGTCCAGGTGGTGCCAAGGGTCTCAGCAGCCAAAGCTTTGGAATTTCCTTTAGGGAGGATGCCTTCAGCACGCTCAGCTCTATCATTCTATCTACAGTATCTTCATTCAAGATCCAGAATCTGGGAAGACAAGTTGTTCTTGGGTGACATGACTACATTTATGAAGGAGTGGGAAAGAGGCAAATCCAGACAGAACACAAGTGGCTACCACAGTTCACCCCTTTGCTAGCTACCAGACTATACGGACCCTTTCTCCCATACATGTAGTCTAAAAGTGACCCCACCTAACATGCCGTATACGCCAGCATCTGTATTCACTCTTCCTTGTATGATTACAGATGCATTGTTTTGAACATTAGAAGCGTTGTTTTGTCACAGCCACCAGGAGCAATGTAATAAAGGTATTCTTCCTGAGTGTGGGAGTTTTATGGAATCTCCATTCTTCTACCAGCCCTGCAGTTAGTTAGGCCCTTTTGATATTCTGTACTTTATGGTAAATTTAAGGACAATATTTTCCCCTTATCTGTGGGGGATATGTTCTAAGACCCAGTGGATGCCTGAAACCACCAAGAGTGCCAAACCTTATACTTACTATATTTTTTCCTGTATACACATACCTATGATAAATTTTAACTTACAAGTTAGGCATAATAAGGGATTAACAATAAAAACTAATAAAACATTGAACAATTAGAATAATATATTAAAATAATATTTTTTGAGAGAGAGAGAGTTTTTAATATTTATTTTTTTTAGTTTTCAGCAGTCACAACATCTTTGTTTGTATGTGGTGCTGAGGATCGAACCCGGGCCGCACGCATGCCAGGCGAGCCCGCTACCGCTTGAGCCAGATCCCCAGCCCCCTAAAATAATATATTGTAATAAGAGTTCTTTAAAACATGAATTACTTACTTGACCCTCATTTGTACTCTTTCACTCTATGTCATACCTTACTTACCAAGACATATAGGCTACTTGCTGCTTCCTCTTCTCCAGGTCCTTTCAGTGTGAACTCATCAAAGTAGTGGGCCAGCAGGATGTTCCATGGAATAATTGTGGTCCACAGCATAGAACTGTTGTATCATTAAGGCAGTTTGGTTGAGGTGTATTTCTGTCCATGCCAGGTGAAAGCAAAGTGTTTCTGGCATTATCTGTGTATTGAAATGGAAAAAAAAATGCATTCACAGGGCAAAGTCTGTTTTTTGTTTTGGTACTGGAGATTAAACCCAGGGATGCTTTACCATCAAGCTGCATCCCTGCTCCCCCCCCACACACACACTTTTGGTACCAGGGATTGAACCTAGGAGCGCTTAACCACTGAGCCACATCCCCAGCCCTTTTTAAAATTTTATTTTGAGCCAGGGTCTCACTGACTTGCTTAGGGCCTCACTAAATTGCTGAGGCTGGCTTTGAACTCACAATCCTCCTGCCTCAGCCTCCAGAGCTGCTGAAATTCCTGGCCCTTTGTATCTTTTTAAAAGAGGATCTCACTAAGTTGCTCAGGCTGACCTCAAATTTGCTATCCTCTTGCCTCAGCCTACCAAGTTGCTGACTATATAGACATGAGCCCTCATGCCTGGTTTCTTCTAGGGTTTTCATTAAGCCTAAGAAATGATATATGAGTTCCTTCATTTTACAAAGGAGTTTGGGGAAAGCAATGCTTATTCTAAAAAGCAAAAGCCATAAAATATAAACTCTTGTCATTTCATGCTGCTGTGCGAGCAGAAAGGAGAGTAATTTGGAGGGGGGTGTTGGGGGAGGAGTGTGAGAGTGTGCATTTCAAGGCATTCCACAAGTGAGCCAAGACGCAATGGCTACTGCTTATTTCAATTTATATAATTTATTCTCATTGACAGCACTCACACATGCATACTCACACGCACACACACACAGGTCTGTGACTGATCAAGACTAGGGGTGATACAGAAAGGAAAAGAAGGGTCCCTCTGAACCAAACCAAAGAGTCTTTTTCCCGTGTCCCACTTTCCCCAAGGAAGAAGTCGCTCCTGGTGAATAACATCTTTGTGGTGGCTGCAGCGTTACTATTTGGCTTCAGCCACAAAGCAGGCTCCTTTGAGATGATCATGCTGGGAAGACTACTCATGGGAGTCAGTGCAGGTATGGGGGCATCTCATCCTGCCTGTCTATTCCTATTCATTCATTAGTTCCTTTATTTCCTTCTTTTGTTCCTTTTATTCACTGACATATTTTCATTCACACCTACCTGTTTTGCAAAATAATTAAATATGGTTTATCTTAAAAGATTTGAATAACTAGATATTTACAGTAGATGTATAAAAATGAAGAAGTTGCAGGAATGGGGAAAACATCCTTAAACTTGCACTACCAACACTCTAAACCTGAGTTTCCTGGCAGCCAAGGCATAAAGGGACATAGGATTACTTCTCTAACATTCTCTTCCCCTTATCTGGGGCAGATATGTTATATATCCCCTTTTCTGTGGGGAAAGGATAGCATCTTAGGAACTCCTGAGTTTCTGAGGCTTGATATGTGAGGGAGAAGAAGTTTTAGTACATATACATAAGCTTTTAGGGATTACAATTAAGTTACAACTTGATTCTCTACTTTTATACAGCCAGATATTGATGTCCTTATTAGTTACCCATTCCTGTGAAACAAATTACCCCCAAACTTAGTGGCTTAAAACAACCAACATGGTTTATGTGTGTGCGTGCACTGCCGGGGATGCAACTCAGGGCCTTGAGCATGCTAAGTAAGTTTTCTACCACTGAACTGTAGCCTCAGCCCGTAACCATATTTATAATACCAGTTTCTGTGGGTCAAGAGCCTGGAAATGCCTTTGCAGGGTAGCTCTAGCTTGAGGTCTCTCATTAGGTCATGCTCAGCTGTCAGTTACAACTGCTACCACCTGAAGGGGCTGGATAATCTTTTCCGAGATGGTTCCCTCATAGGCCACTGGCAGGAGGCTCCAGCTCCTCGCCCTGTGGGTCTCTCTGTAGTGTTCCTTGAATATCCTCATGAAACATGGAAGCTGGTATTCTCCAGAGTGAGTGGAGAGAGAGGCGGGGGTGGGGGTAGATGAAAAGGAATTTTTAGTGCTCTTTGTGTCCCCCTTTCAGAAGTCATGCACCACCAGTTTTCCCACATTCTATTCATTGAAAGTGAATCTCTAAGAACAACCCACACTCCAGGGGAAAGGAACTAGGTCAGACTTTGTCATTTTTCCCTGAATATATCCAAAAAAGAAGGAATCCCTCCTCAAATGTTGGAAGGAAGAGCAGAGGTAGCCCTGAGACTCCTTGACAATCAGAGCAATTGCCTTCCTCTGAATTCTCATCACCCATGAGAAAGGGGCTGACACTGATGGGAGATGTTTCCTGACCCCAGGTCAGAGAGTGGGGTGGAGGTTTCCCAGGTATATGATATCCTAATATGGCCTCCTAGCTTTTGGCATTTGTAATGAATGAATGGGCAGCAAGGGCACTGTCCAGTTTTGTTTTCCCATTGGCTGTATAGGTGCCAGATGTGTCCATGGGGGAACTGGAATGAAGAGAGGACCTACATCTGTAGTGGTCAATGTAAAGCATTGAAATGAGAACCTGGAAAGCTGGAAGGCATCCAGAACATGGTCCCTTCCCTTTTCCTTCCACCCCCAGCACTTGAGAGACTGTATACCAACTTTCCATCACTATAATGAAATACCTGAGGCTATTAACTTATGAAGAGAAAAGATTTATTTTTGGCTCTGGTTTTGGAGGTTCTAGTCTAACATTGTTTTGTTTTGTTCTGTTTTGTTTTGGTACTGGGGATTGAACCCAGAAGTGCTTCACCACTGAACTACATCCTCAGCCTTTTTTATATTTTATTTTGAGTCAGGGTTTCACTAAGTTGAGAGCCTCACTAAGTTGCTGAGGCTGGCCTTGACCTTGCAGTCCTCCTGTCTCAGCCTTCTCAGTTGCTTTGGATTATAGAGGTGCACCACCATGCCCGGCTCCACACCAACATTGGAGTGGCACTTTTGTTTTAGTCCTCTGGTGATGACAACATATTATGGTGGGAGTATGTGTAGGAATAAATCATTCATCTCATGAGCCAGGAAGCAAAGAAGAAGAGTAGGAGACTGAGGTCCCACAATCTCCTTTAAGATCTTGCCTCCAAGCCAGGTGTGGTGGCGCATGCCTGTAATCCTAGCTGCTGGGGAGGCTGAGGCAGGAGGATCACAAGTTCAAAGCCAGCCTCAGCAGTGGGGAGGAGCTAAGCAACTCAGGGAGACCCTGTCTCTAAATAAAATACAAAATAGGGCTGCGGATGTGTCTCAGTGGTCGAGTGTCTCTGAGTTCAATCCCCAGTACAAAAAAAAAAAAAGATCAAGCCCCCAATGACCTAAGGACCTCTCATAAGGCCCCACCTCATAAAGGTCCACAGTATCTCCCAAGAGCAAGCACCTGGAGACCAAACCTTTAACACATGGGCCTTTGGGGGACATTCAACGTTCAAACTGTTGCAGAGACTTGAATACCTAGAAAGATCCCATGAATATGTGGGATTGTGATGAGGAACCAAGGGATGGGGAGAGCCTATCTGGGAAAGATGACTTCTCTCCCAGGAATCCTGAGGCGTTGAGCTGGGATCTATCATCCCTATAGAAGGTGAAGTGGAACCTCTCAGAGTGTGGGGGGTGAGGGAATGGCCCACTGAGTCACAGCCCAGCAGACAAGAGGCAAGAAAGACATGCAGGCCTCACAAGGACCCTCTTTGTGGCTGAGCACCCTTGCTATGCGCATGTCCAGGCGTGAGCATGAACGTTCAGCCTATGTACCTGGGGGAGAGTGCTCCCAGTGAACTCCGAGGAGCAGTGGCCATGACCTCAGCCATCTTCACAGCCCTGGGAATCGTGATGGGACAGGTGGTCGGATTGAGGTGAGTACCCCTCCCCCTATGCATTTATGGCCCCTTCTGCTTTCAGGGACGCCAGTAAAAATCTGTCTTCACCCAGATTTCTCCCCTCCCCACCATTTGATTAAAGCATTGCTTCTATGCATGAGGGCATCAAAACCCTGTTCACAGCCACGTGTCTAATATAAAAAAAAGAGCTTTTCAATCAGCCAAACTTTGGTATGAATCACCTTCTCCCATCTTCTCCAGGGTAGGGAGCAAAGAACAGTTCTTGAAAGCAGGGAGGGTGAAGATTTGGGCTTTTGGAGAGGAACTTGTTCTGGCCATCATAGGAAAAAAAAAAAAAAAAAAAGGAAAATGCAGAGCTTGGATCCCCAGGGAAAAAAATTGCTAGGGATAAGGTGGGGCAGGGGCCCTTCCCTCTCTCAGTTCCTACCTGGTTTGGAAGGATCTTGATGTCCAAACTCAAAGCTAGATAGAAAGAGTCACAGGCCAACATGACCCTCTGCAAGCAGGTTAGTAAGGCAGGCAGGGGTCAAGGGGGAAGGTGAGGAGACAACTGTTCTGTCCTGTCCTCTGCCTTCCTAGGGAGCTGATGGGTGGACCACAGGTATGGCCCCTTCTGCTGGCCAGTTGCCTGGTGCCTGGGGTACTCCAGCTCGTCTCATTGCCCCTGCTTCCTGAGAGCCCACGCTACCTCCTCATTGACTGTGGAGACACAGAGGCCTGCCTAGCCGGTGAGTCCCTGCCCTTGGGCCTCTGGACTATATTTGTTCCAAGGATGCATCTCACCAGTACAGGTCCTCTTCTTTTGGGTTCTATTTAGTAGGGAAAAGCTCTTTTCTTTGTGTCTCAACTTCATGATCTATTCACATATGCCTTCAAAATTCTTTGTCAAAGGGATATCCTAAATTATAGGGTAATAGGATGGGTCAGACCACCTTTGTCATCCAGGAAATCCAGGTGAACATAAAAATACACATGCACACACACACACACACACACACACACACACACACACGAGAGACACTTATGCAAGACCTCACCTGCCCAATGCCAACTGGGTGATGATTGTTATGTCAGTTAACTATAATAAATATGGTCAAGGAACAATTGCAAAATCTCTGGCTTAAAACAACAATCATTTACCACATCTTTTACTCATTTATTCCTTTGGCAGCACAACTCTGCTGATCTCAGCTGGGCCAGGAATTGGTCAAGTCTGGTCTGAGCTGGGCTGCTTCCGTTCTGTATATTTGTCCTTCTTCTCAAACTCTTGGTACTAATGAACTCAGGGATGTTCTTAGTGTGGTGGTGGCAGAGGCACAAGAAAGCAAAACAGTTGCACAAGTACTTTCAAAACCTTCATCCCTCAACCCCATACCCATTAATGTCCCATTCACATGCTGGTGAATCCAAAGCCTCAGAATGGGAAAATCAGTGACGTGCTCTCCCATGGCAAAGAGTGGGGTTTAAGGAGGGATGAAGACCAGGGCCCAGGAATGTATTCTTATTGATTAGCCATCATGACCACATTTTTCTTTTTTCTTTTGAGATGGGGGTCTCTGTATGTTCTAAAGCTAGTCTCAAACTCCTGAACTCATCAAGTAATAGGCATAGTGCCATGCCTGTCCATGGTCACAATTATTATGTATATCCCTCCTCTCTGCAAAATATGTTCAGTCCCATCTCAGGATCCCCCAAAGTCTCAGTCATGACATCAGTTTTGAAGTCCCAGATCCTTTTTTTTGGACCATGGATTGAACCCAGAGATGTGTGACAAATAAGTAACATCCCCAGCCCACCCACCCGCCCCCCACCGCCGTTTTTAAAATAATTTTTTTTAGGTAGATGGACCCAATATCTTTATTTATTTGTTTATTTATTTATACGTGACACTGAGGATTGAACCCAGTGCCTCACACGTGTGAGGCAAGTGCTCTACCACTGAGCTACAACCCCAGCCTCCCAGCTCTTTTTTTATTTTACTTTTTTGAGACAGGGTCCTGCTAAGTTGCTTAGAGCCTCACTTATGTTGTTGAGTCTGGCTTTGAACTTGTGATCCTCCTATCTTAGCCTCCTGAGCCACTGGAATTACAGGCTTGCGTCACTGAGCCCAGAGAAGAAGTACCAGATCTTAGGATCGCATTGAATTATATGTACCTTTTTTTTTTCCTTAGTGCTGGGTATTGAATTGAGGGCCTTGCACATGCTGGGCAAGCACTCTCAGCCTTGAAAGCTACATTCTAAACCATTTTATTTATTTTGAAACAGAACCTGGTTAAATTGCCCAGGCCGACCTCAAACTGGCAATCCTCCTGCTTCAGTCTCCTGAGTCCTTGTAATTAGAGGTTTCTACCATGCCCAGCTTTTATTATTTTTTTGAGATCGGTTCATCCTAAGTTGCCTAGGTGGGCCTCAAATTTCAGTCCTCCTGCCTGAGCTTCCCTGTAGCTGGAGTTACAGGTGTGATCACTGCTTCTGGCTATGTGCCTTTTTTCCATCCAGATACCATGGTTTTTAAAAAGCAGGTCTTCTAAATTTAAAACTATAAACTTCTTAGAAGAAACAGACATAAATGTATGGGCTTTGGATTCAGCAATCGTTTTTTCAATATGACAACGAAAGTATGGTCGACAATTAAAAATATAGATAAGTAGATATCAAGAACTAAAAAAAAAACTGTCATGCTTCAAGAAGATAAGAAAATAAAAAGGCGTCGGGTGCGGTGGCACACACTTGTAATCTCAGGGGCTAGGGAGGCTGAGACAGGAGGATGAGACAGGAGGATCGTGAGTTCAAAGTCAGCCTCAGCAACAGTGAGGCACTAAGCAACTCAGTGAGACCCTGTCTCTAAATAAAATACAAAATAGAGCTGGGGATGTGGCTCAGTGGTTGAGTGTCCCTGAGTTCAATCCCTGGTATCCCTCCCAAAAGAAAAAGAAAGTAAAAGGCAACTTGTGGAATGGGAGAAAATTTTTTTCAAATCATTTAACTGGAAAATGAGTTGTATCTAGAATATGTAAAGAACTCATAGCTCAGCAACAAAAAGATAACCAATTTTCAAGTGGCAAAGGATCTGAAAAGACATTTTTATTTAGAAGATATACCAGTGGCTGATACGAGCATGAAAAAATGCTCAACATTGGGGCTGGGGAGTTAGCACAGTTGGTAGAGTGCTTACCTTGCATACACAAAGCCCTGAGTTCAATTCCCAGCACCAAAAGCTCAACATCATTATTCACCAGAGAAATGCAAATTAAAATCATGAGATGCAATTTCACATCCATTATGATGGCAGTAATTTAAAAAGTCACATAGAAACCAGTGTTGGCAAGAACATAAAGAAATTGGAACCCTTAATGTAAAATGGTGTGATAATTTAGGAAAACAATCTGAGAGTTCCTCAAATGATTTAAATAGAGAGTTACCATATAACCCAGCCATACAACCCAAGGGAAATGAAACCTATGCCCCCCGCCCCCCCCCAAAAAACTTTGTATTTGAATATTTGTAGTAGCATTATTCATAATAGCCAAAAGGTAGATGCAAATAAAGCATCCATCAATTAATGAATAGATCAATAAAATGTGCATATTCATACATTGGAATATTATTTAACCATAAAAAGGATTGAGTAATTGATACATGTTGCAATGTGTATGAACCTTGAAAACATGCTACAATTCACAATATCCAAGTTATGGAAACAGCCTAGATGTTCATCAACAGATGATGGACAAAGAAAATGTGGGAGAGATACACAATGGAGTTTCATTCAGTCATAAAGAAGAATCAAATTATATCATCTTAAGTGAAGTAAACCAGACAAAGAAAGTAAAGGGCTATATGTTTTCTCTGATATGTGGAAGTGAGAGAGGAGAAAGGAAAGGAAAAAGGAATCTCATGAAAATGGCAGGAAGACCCATAGAGTAGGGACAGGCAATGGGGGAAGGATGAGGAAAGGGCAGGTTAGGGGCTGAGGAAGGAAACTAAGCAAGTTTGTCATGTGCGTGTATAAATGTGCCACAATGAAATTCACTATTCTGTCTGCGCCAATAAAAAACTTATGCTATGTAAGAGAAGCCAGTCACAAAAAGCCACATGTATGATTCCATTTCATGAAATGTCCTGAACAGGCAAGTTTGTAGAGAGAGAGATTTGTGTTTCCTGGGGCTGGGGGCATGAAGGGCTGACTGGAGTGTGACGGCTAAGGGATTTCTTCATGGTTCTAAAATTCATGGTGGTGATGGTTGCACAACTCTGAACTCATTAAAAACCACTGAGTCATGTTCTCAGGAAAAAAGGACCTAAAAGGGTGAATTGTGTGGTATGTAAATTATATCCCAAAATAGATGTGTTTTTTTTTAAACGATGAACTTCTAAAACTGAGTAAAAGAAGTGGAAGAGGTTGTAAGTTAAAACAAGTTCACTTGTTGAATTAAAACAGTTGACGGAATTTCCACCTGAAAATGTCTATGTTCTCACTGAGATAGACTTCCTAGCATAACCATATGCTAGTAAGAGTTTGTAATCCGAAAATGATGTGTCAGATACAAATAATGCAGAGGTAGCACAGTTCCAGGTAATGACAAGCTCCAAGGTGTGTCCTGAGCGTGGGTGGCTAAGGTGGAGTGGAGGAGGAGTCGCCAGAGGCCAGGGAAGTCAGGGAGCTTAATGCAACCAGAAGTATTTGCTAAATTGAATCAAGGAATTACTTCCCTAACTCGCCCTGTATCAGGCAGTATTAAAGCATCACTGTAACCTTTAAAGTCTTAAAAATTACTGTATTTTCCCTAGGCAAATTTTATTTTTATTCTACTGAATTCAGGGTTAGGTGTATGAATTTGAAAAGAGAGCACACCCAAGTTACTTCTCATGTGTGGAAGAAAAAAGGAGATTTTTTCAATACTCTATAATTACACTAAGAATATATATAAAAGAAACTTTAGGAGAATAAGCTTCCAGAAATTTAGAAGCAAAACAATGAATATACAAGACCATAAATAAAATACTGAGCACCTTTGTCAACTGATTCCAAAGATTCACCTAAGACCATCTTCCTTTGCAGTTCCAAGATTAGCAGAGTCAGAGGGAGGGTTTCTGGGAACCCCATAGGCTTTTTCCCTTCATCAACCCATCTCAGAGGATTTTCTCATGTCCCAACTGATCTTTTCTTAGAAGCCATCATTTGCTCTCACCTGTGGGGTCCCTACACTCCCGGTCTCCAAATATAGTTTGGAGTATAATTTCCCCAATTTCATTGTTCCCAAACCAATCTCCTCCACTAAGACACACTAAGAGTCCAAGGAAGGATATAGAATCCATTGCATTCAGCACTGAGTAATTTAATAAGGAGAATTGGATGGTGTTTACAAATTAACTAGAATGATTGGAGGACTAGGCTCTAGGTAGTGGCTACAGGAACATTCCCAGAGAAACACAGAACTGAACATCCAGGCAAGCTACTGGCTCTGCAGTGTACAGGATGATGACCAATCAGTCAACTAACACTGGAACTGCTGAGTTTATGAATCTGCAAGCATAGCTGTGATCCTGGAATCAGAAAGTCAGGACCAGGAAACTACCACTGTCACACCACAACTGCTTCTCAACACCCATAAAGCCAGTGACTGGATACTAGACCAATTCAGAGAAACCTCAAGATTTTGCAAATGGTCCAAGATCTTGTTCACCAGCAGAAAAAGTAAAAACTTGGAAGGGAAGTAGTTTCTGTTTCACTTCTACTTTCTAGGCTAAAATCAGAGTGTGTATAATAAATTCATCCAGGAGAAAAAAAAAAAACAACAGGTCTTCTTCCCATCCCACACTCAGTGTATAATGGTCAAAGTGAGACAAGGTAACCAGAATTTAAGAGTTTAATTTCAACCACAAGGTGGCCAAAAGGCACAAAGCAGTCATTGATCCATAACAATTCTGTAATGCCCCTGGGAACACTTGCCAGGTTTCCCTGGCTTGATCTGCCCCCTGGGAAAGGTTCTCCATGGTTTTTGCTTCTGCCCTCTGAGATAGTCACCTTCCTTTATACTTTCTGGAGAGTATTGGGAAGTGTGCTGCTTTTAGTGGTTGAGTAAATTTCTCAGCTGCTGCCTGTAGGAAGTTAAGGCATTGAGGTCTTTTTTTGTCTAACTGGCAGAGCTTTTGCTAATACAGTCTTCTCAAAAATGATGTGAATTTTCTATGTATTTGATTTACATGGAGAGAGAGAGAGAGAGAGAGAGAGAGAGAGAGAGAGAGAGAGAGAGAGAGAGAGAGAGAGGTGGAGGTATTTTGGGGTGGGGTGAAGGGTTTACTGCTGGGTAGTATCAAAGAAGGCCTGAGGGAGAGGAAGTGCAGCACCCTTCTCCGTCTCAGCTCTGCAGATGCTGCGGGGCACCCAGGATGTGGCAGAGGAGATGGAAGAGATGGAGGAGGAGCGTGCTGCCTGCCAGGGCCGCCAGGCACGGCGCCCATGGGAGTTGTTCCAGGACCGGGGCCTGAGGAGGCAAGTGACAAGCCTTGTGGTGCTGGGCAGTGCCATGGAGCTCTGTGGGAATGACTCGGTGAGGCTCTGCCCTGTCCTGTCCTGCACCCTAGGTCTGCTGAGGGTTTGTGCTGTAGGCAGGTGGGAGCCATGGAAGGTTTAGGGGAACCAATGCTTCAGAGCTGCCCCTCCTGCTGGCCCAATCCTAGGTGTATGCCTATGCTTCCTCAGTGTTCCGGGAGGCAGGAGTGCCTGAAGAGAAGATCCAGTATGCCATCATTGGAACTGGGAGCTGTGAGCTGTTTGCAACTTTTGTTAGCGTGAGTCTAGATTTGGGCCCATCCCTATCCCCAGTCCTGCCAGAGGGACGCTTGGGATACTGATGCTCTTAGGACTTTGCATTAAGCTATTTTCCACTCCTGTTCATGGTGGTAAAGTACAGCAAGTCGGCAAGCATTCCTACTGTTGGCTGGGCATTCACACCATTGCTTTGAGATGAGAACCCTAAATGAAATTGAGTAATTAACCAAGGTCCTCTGGGATATTAATAAAGTTGTGACCTTCTGAAGCAATAAACTGCACCTCCCTCTTAACACACACCAGCTTTCCCATGAGACCCCTCGGTATTGCCTGTTCCCAAACTAAGAGCCCAGTGTGTGGTACTTTCCTGAGTGGCTCCTTTCCTTTGCAGTGCGTGGTGATTGAGAGGGTGGGTCGGAAGGTGCTGCTGGTAGGGGGATACTCTCTGATGACCTGCTGGGCCAGCATCTTCACAGCTGCGCTGTGTCTGAAGGTAGCTGGGGGGACGGGGTGAGGGGTGGTAGCTGGGCCAGGTCTGTTTTCCACCTCACTCCACCTTATCTGCTGCAGAACTCCTTCCCCTGGATGCCCTATCTGGCCATGTCCTGCGTCTTTGCTTTCATCCTCAGCTTTGGTATCGGCCCTGGTGAGTGGGCCTGAGGGCCTCTGGTCTTTGGGCCTTGCTGAAGGAACAATGGGTGACTGAGTGAATGATGGTGGATGTGACTGTAATGTCATTTTCAAATCCCAGACCCACTTGTGCTGAGGCTTCTGGGAGGACTAGAGGAGGACATCCAGGGGCCCCCATGCAGATGGGACTAAGATGACAGAGAGGCAGGGCAAAGAGCCCTGGATGATAGCCCTCTGACCTCTTATAGCTGGAGTGACGGGAATCCTGGCCACAGAGCTGTTTGATCAGACAGCCCGACCTGCTGCTTACATGGTCTGTGGAGCCCTGATGTGGATCATGCTCTTCCTGGTTGGAATTGGGTTCCCCTTTGTCATGGTAGGCCTGCCCTTCCCCCCGGGGTAGGAGGCCCTGCTTCAGGTTTTGTCCCTATCACTGGAGCACCCCAGGGAGTGGTGCCTCTGTACATGAGAACTGAGGCCAAATGGGAGGGACCTTATGTGAACCAAGGGAGCAAGTCTTTTCTCATAACTTGTCATGGGCCTTCCATTGAGAAGGGACACAACAGGTCTTGGGGTTTCTTTAACCCATAGGAGAGCCTGTCCCACTTCCTCTTTGTTCCTTTCCTCGGTGTCTGCATCTGTGGAGCCATCTACGCTGGATTGTTCCTCCCTGAGACCAAAGGCAAGACATTCCTGGAGATCTCTGAGGATTTACACAGACTCAGCTTGCCCGTGCAGGCCCAGGGCCCCACAAGGAGCAGCAGGGAGGTCATCCAGTCCACAGAGCTATAGCTGCACAGTTGTGGCAGGGGCTAAAGGTGGCTGCTGCCCTGTCCTTTGCTTTTCAGAATGATTTGCATTTTAATGAGTGTTTATTCAGCACCTACATTTGCCTTTTTTATACTTTGATATAATTCTATATTATTTGTACACATTTGTGTCCGGCTTTCTTTGGAAAAGTTTAGTTGCGTGTGTTAGTATACATTCCTTTGTGTTGCTGAGTAGTTATCCCCTGTATGGGTATATCATGATTTGTTTATCCCTTTGCCTATTGGGGGCTGGGGATACAGCTCAGTTGGTACAGTGCTTTCCTTGCATGCATAAGGCCCTGGGTTCAATCCCCAGCACTGCCAAAAAAAAAAAAAAAAAAGTCTTTGGTAGACATTTGGATTACTTCTAATTTTTGGCCACCATGAATAAAGCTGCTGTGAGTATTCCTATGCAAATTGTTGTATAGATGTGTATTTTCATTTTTTGTGCATCTGTTTGGGCTGCTATAACACTGTATCATAGACTGGGTGGCTTATAAACAATAGAAATATACTCCTAATTCTGGAGGCTGGAAAGTCCAGGGTCAAGGGCCCACTTCCTGGTTTATAAACATTTGTTTTCTTGCTGTAACCTCCCATGGCAGAAGTGAAGAACTTCATCTCTTTTATAAGGCACTAGTGGATCCCATTCATGAAAGCTCTACCCTCATGACCTAATCACGTCTTAAAGGCACAACTTCCGAATACCATCATATTAGGTAGCAAGAAATCTCTAGAGAGTAATATTTATTTGGGAATGACAGAGCATTGCAATGGGAATATGTGGACCAATACTAATCTATGGGTGCATTCAAGAAGGTCAGACAAGTAGTTTTTATAGGGAAAAAAGGGAAATTTTTTGGTGAGCTGCGTGGATTAAAAGTATTCATTGGTCTGTTCTGCAAGGTGATTATAGTAGTGTTTTATACTTTCACTAGCAGTGATTTGAGAGTTCTGCATACTCCAAATCATCAATATTTGGTTGGTATTGTCAGTATTTTCAATTTGACCATTCTAGTGAGTGTGTAGAAAGTAGTGTCTCTCTGTGCTTTAATTATGGTATTTTCTTGATGACTAATAATGTTGACCACCTTTTCATGTGTTTAGTATGACCATTTATCTGCTTTTGTGAAGAATCCTTTCCTATCTTTTGTCTACTATTTTTATTGAGTTACCTTATTTTTTTAATTAACAAGCATTTTTATTAACTTTTTTGAAAAATTGATTATGAGTTTAATATTATATTTTTAATATTATATTTTTACCTGGGCAACACATTTAGAGGTTCTTAGGAATAAGAATCAAAATAAAATAGTCATTAATGTAACTAGACTACATAGTTGTATCAAAAAAGAGAAAAAAAAATCAGTGTTTTGTAACTAAGTCTGAGTTTAGAATATATCACCTGCTTTAAATAATATTTAAATCCTAAAAGATGAAAGACATTTTGCAGGAGAAAACAGGCTCAAGAAGGAAACATTACAAAAGATATAATAATAATTACTTTGAATCAAATTTATGAATCAACTTCTTTCTCCAAACAAGATTTCATGTCTCTAAAGAACACAGGTTTCTAATTCCAGAAAGATAGTTGTCAAAACTTTAAATACTTCTCTAACAATTACATTCTCTATCTGGATCAAACTTTTACTGCCCAACATTTCTTGCCATTTTTCTTATTGTCAACAAAGCCTAGGTGCTGGACTTTGTGAACTGTGACACAGCTAGACCTTTAAGTAATTATTATAACTAATATATCTAATAGTTATTTGCTAAGAGTAATAGAATGATATACATATACCCCTTATAAACTAAAATAGTACTTCTGCACACTTTTCTGTGCAAGAGTTTTATTAACCCAAAATACACTCAAGGAAAACCTTTTGACTTTCATTTCTAATCTATATAGGCCTATAATAACCAAATTTATTGAGTTATGACAGAACTGCATAACATTTCTTAAAATTTCCTTCTTGAGCTCTGTGAAACCTCAAAAAGCAATCTACTCACTAATGGTCTGTTAGACATAAATAATCAAATCATGTATTATGTATATTTAATACCAATAAAATATAATATATAATCAACATTGTATAATTAAAATTGTCAAGCTCTACTTGAAAGCCTTAAAAAATGACTCTGGAAGAATTAAGCTATTCTATTTAACACGTAATAGATAGTTGGCATAAAGCAAAGTTTATGTATTTAGTTTTCTCATATTCTATTGTATTTCCATAAACCATTAAGATATAACTTTAGGTATTTTTCCATCAGTAAGTAAAGATATAGATGATTTCTTTTTATAGGTAACTGAAGGTTTTAAGAGGGTTTAGACTGAAAATCAGGTACCATTTAGTCATAACATGATACAAAGACCTTTAATCAGGAAAAAGATTTTTAGCATTATTGCTTAAGTCTTATAAACATGTTGAATTTTAACCAAATTGATACCTCTCCAGTCTTGTTTCCTTTACTATTAAGTCATATTTTTTGGCAAATATATAGGTAATGATGTAATTTTAAAATTAAATTAACTGTGAATAAATTCTAATTTGTTGATCAGTGCATATATTTTGCCCCCACTTTACCTAGTATATTCCTCCTGGAAAAAGTGACTGTCCCACATGAAAACAAAACAAAACAACAACAACAACAACACACACACACACACACACACACAAACAAACAAAAAAAAACCGCAGAGCTTTATTTCTTCCTTGAAGATTTTCAGGTATTATAGGAGCAAAAAAGTCCATTAAAAAAAAAAAGGGTTATGAGGAAAAGACTAACAGTAAACTAAGACGAATGGGGGGAGAGAAAGGGAGAGAGAAGGGAAAACATATGGAAATGGTAGGAAACCTTCAGTGATACACAAAATTATAAGAGGTTATGAGGGGCAAGGGGGAGGGGGAAAAAGGGGGAGAGAATTGAACAACAGCAGAGGAGGTAGAGAGGGGAGAGGGAAGATGGGAGGGGAGGGGAGGGGAGGGGGGATAGTAGGGGATAGGAAAGGTAGCAGAATACAACAGTCACTAATATGCCATTATGTAAAAATGTATGGAACAGAAGTGAGTCTGCATTATGTATTTGGGGAGTTCAAAACCCAGTTGAGTCAAATGTATGAAAGATGATATATCATGAGCTCTGTAATGTTTTGAACAATCAATAAAAAAAAATGGGAAAAAAAGGGTTAAAAATTTAACATTTTCATCTTGCTTTACTAATTATTGGATAACAGAAATATAAAAAAAGTCCCTTATTATTTCTTTGTTTAACATAATAATAATACACTAAGAAATACAGTAATTACATCGAGCTATTTTCTGGCTTCTTCAAGTAAGGGACACAACTATGGTTCTACCAATGAGGAGATATGAATAATCAGTCTATGGAACACAAAAAGATAAATTGACTTTTGGCTTTTAAAAACAAAAACCTAATGTGACCCTGAAATGCCTGATTCAGCAACAAAAAGTTACAGCTGCAAGCAACCACTTCACTACACAGAATTCTGAAAGAGGCAACAGCCCTCCCTCAACCTCAATCTGTGATATCTTCTTTTTATTCTGTTTTTTTTCCTGCTTTTTGGTTGTAGACAGTTCAAGGCTTGCCAACTGCTTAGGTTCAGCTTTTCTCATCTCAATCTCAATCTCAAGCTTTTCTGATTTCAATCTTCATTGCAGTCATAGTTACATAGCTCTGTTTTACATCAGTCACACCCTATACTTTGACATTTTGATGAAATTCTTTCTCTCCTTCAAATACAATGTGTACATTTAACGATGTACTATGAGCTTCTACTCCACTAAGTTCTGGAAGTGAATTTTTATCTAGTCCACATGTGTTTCCCTGTTTTACATATAGCCTTCTTAGACTAAGACTGCTTTAAAATCAGAGGTGTTCCTTCTATAACTGCTCCAATGTTTCATCCCCTCATGGAAAATATACAGAATGATATACACAGACTTCTTCTAGACTCTGTAGACCTGATATGTCTTTGGACACCCTCCATTTTTACATGAGATCCCAATCTTAATTTCATCACTGTCATCTTCTTTCTTATCTTCTTTCATTCCCAGACCATAATTTAAGTTTATCAAGTGCTTGTTTTAGGGATTTTTTAAGTTTATCAAGTGCTTGTTTTGCAGATTTTTTAATGACATATTTATCAAGTGCTTGTTTTGCAGATTTTTTAAATGACATATTTTAAACCAAATATGTCATTGGTTCACTGAGCTTGGCCTTTTTATCACTTGTATTGGTTTAGGGGCTTGAATTATGGGCTCCTGAAATTTGAGTTTCAATTCAGATAGTTCTTTCTTTTCAGTAGTCTTGACTTCAGGCTTGACTGGCTCAGGTGGCTTCTTGCTATTATGTCTACCTTTTGTACAGCCCACGATGCTTAAGAAATCAGAAAAATCAGTTGTTCTTTTACAGCAAGTCCAACCCTTTAATGCATCATTAAAGACTGGAACACCTGGGTGATATGTGCAAGCATCACCCGAATTTTTTTCGGGGTCAAAGCGCTGGCCACAGCCCCTATTGTAACACAGCACGGCCCTCTTCTCCTCCCACCATTTCAGGCAAGGACCAAACACTAGGAACCGCCAGACAGTGCGACTAACTCTGCTGTAGCAAGCACTGACCTGTTGCTTAGGGTGGCTGCAGGCTTCCTGAAACCACCAGTTCCCGGGTTGTCTTTTTTTTTGTTGTTTTATGTATTTAATTATTATTATTATTATTTGGTTTTTTAACTCATCTGCATTTATTACTCTTTAAAGAAGAATGTTGACTTGGATACTAATATTTCCATTCAAGCCTTATTGAGTTACTTTTTGAATAGCTTTGTAACACACCTGTTGAACCACGATGCAAAGAAAAGACCACTGGTCTTTTAAATCAATGAAAGCAAGCTTGTATCGTGTACACAAGAAAAGCTGGCCACCAGCGATGGTCTCTCCCAAAACCGGGCTAGAGATTAGCCCAGCTCTCAGAGAAGGTTTATATAGCACAAAAAATTACAAAGGGGGGTGTCTTGGGAACTTACAGCTAACAGGGTTTTGGCAATCATAACACCAGGGCAGAGAGCAGATTAATGATCCACATGCCATGATATTTCAAGGTAGGGAGTAAATTCAGATCCCAACATCAGAATTTATGAGGTGCTGCTGAGGTTTCAGAGAGGGTTGTCATCTGGTCAAGTAGACCCAGGCATGGGTGAGTTCAGAGCATGGGGAGGAATTCCAAACAAGTTTAGAAATCTCAGTAATTTATAGTAAAACAGAAATGAACTTTTCATGACATTGTGATGAGATGGCACCCAATTTTAAAATAGAATTAGGCTGGGTTCATCAACACCTAAGGGAGGATTAAGCTCTGTTTCTCTAAATACTCAAGCCATTTTAACAAATATTTTTCTTTTAAACATCAAGGTCTATCTTGGAACACTTCAGGGAAAAAAGATTGGGTCTGGTCTGATAAGGGATACAACTTGGTAGCAAACACTTTATTTTTATTTTTTTTAAGTCATATCTTTATTTTAAATTTTGTGTTTTAGAAAATTCTAACATATATAAATGTAGAGGGACAAGAAAAATAAATTTTCTTTTTTTTTTCCATGAAAGATTTTTTTTTAATGTTTATTTTTTAGTTTTAGGTGGACCCAGTATCTTTATTTTACTTTTATGTGGTGCTGAGGATCAAACCCAGTGCCTCGTGCATGCTAGGCGATTGCTCTACCAATGAACCACGACCCCAGCCCCCATGAAAGATTTTTGAGGAGATGAGGAGGGGTGGAATCTTTCAGAGTGCAAAGTGATTTTAAAATATAAAAAATTTCTTTGGATTGAGGTCCTTAGAAGTTTGTACTGACTTGCACTCCTGAACTATAAAACATGAATATATGAGCTAAGGAATAGTTTTTCTTGGTAAATAAGCAATTAACAAATACTGTACAACAAACAAAGAAATGAAAGACCTTATAACCAAATAAGGCCACATTCTGAGATACTGGGATTTTAGGATATCACCATATGAATTTTGTTGACAAGAAAGGGTACAACTGAACCTATAACAGATACTAAAAAACTAGCGTCCGAATTACTATTCTTGCGGCATAACTGAATAAATGCATTCATGCTCTAAAAAACTACACTTGAATCCAGCATCCAAGTTAGTGTCCAGGCTTCAGGTTCAATGATCTTCCTGCAGGGAATTTTATATTGAAAAAATTAATCAGGTTAAAACAGCACTCAAAGAGTGAGACAGATAGATCCATGAGAATGCTTTGGACTGCAAAAAAAGATACCCTCAATTTAGATAGAGTTAAGTAATAGGATATTTATGATTTCACCTGACCAGAAACCCTGAGGTAGGGAAGCTTTAAAACTATTTAATTCAACATATAAAGGACCCTTTTTTCCCCCATTGTTTCCCTCTCCTTAATAAAAACTCCCCTTACGATCATTTCTCTCCTTGTTTTTTTCCCCCATTCCCCTCACAACCTCTTATATGTAATTTTATATAACATTGAGGGTCTCCTTCCATTTCCATGCAATTTCCCTTTTCTCTCCCTTTCCCTCCCACCTCATGTCTCTGTTTAATGTTAATCTTTTCCTCCTGCTCTTCCTCCCTGCTCTGTT